TGAATTGGTGGGTTTTTGTTCAATGTGAGCCAAAATTATCACAATTAAAAGAACCAAAGACTTAAACTATTTCAGTCTGTGTGCATTGAATTTATTTAATAAACGAGTTTCACAATTTGAGTTGAATTACTGAAATAAATGAACTTTTCCACGATATTCTAATTTATTGAAATGCACCTGTATACCATTGTAATACCAAGGTGTTCGAACATACACCATATAATAATATTTACTGCGCCATTGAGTACCACGCAATTGCCGTGTATATGAGTATCATTACCTAATTATCCCATTAACTTCTAAAGTTAAAAACCATCTGGTATCATCACTGTACGTACCAACAAGGTATTTTGGTAACATTTTACAATAAGTTCCTATTACTTAACAACTAAAAAATCAACAAAAGAGCAATACATATCTTACAGTATTAATCTTTGTTAACATTTGTAAATTATATAAAAACTCTGTTCATTGTTAATTCATGTTAGCACAGGTTTTACAAATACATTTGATTGTAATAAGAGGCCTAGTTCACCCCTACATGAAAATGTTGTCATCATTTTTTTTCACCTTCCACTTGTTCCAAACCTGTATGAGTTTCCTTTTTCTGTTGAACACAAAAGAAGATATTTGGAAGAATGGTGGTAATCAAACAGCTGACGGTAGCCACTGACTTCCATAGTTTTTTTTTTTTTTTTAAGTCAGTGGCTACCATCAGTATTCTTCAGAATGTCGTCTTTTGTGCTAAACAGAAGAAAGAAGTTCATACAGGTTTAAAACAACTTGAGGATGAGTAAATTATGACAGAATTTTCATTTTTTTAGGGGAACTATCCCTTCAGTAAATTATGAAATTAACATTAAGATTAATAAGTGCTTTGGAAATATTTTTTAGTTAGTTCTTGTTAACTAATATTTCCAAATGTAAAAAATGGAACATTGCAAAATTATACCGTATTTGTCATACTTAACCTATAATAACAGTCTACTATTTGTTAGTGTCACAATAGTAA